TGGTAATGTTTTATGCTTATTATCTATTATTTTTTGTATCATTACATATATATGGGGATATGTAATTGTATGCTCTTCTTTGCAAAAATGCCTTTGTGTGATATATTAGTATTGGTATTGGAATATGACACTTCTCAGGATTTACCTTCTTTCTTTTTGATGTTGTCAAATGGGGAGAAGAATATATAAGATGAAGATGGGAACCACAAAGCAGGGGGAGCCTTCGATAACTACATGAAATGCATCGTCACAAGTTTTGCCATCATAAAAAAGGGGGGTTTGTGAGTGCAACTTCATTATTAGATGTTTTGCATGATGTCAAAACTCGGAAAGCTAGCATTTCAGTATGGTGGATGGTATCCTTATGTCATGTGGAACTCCCTTGCATTAGAGGACTTAGAAATCATTTAGAACAACTTTAAAATTGGTCCCAATCATGAAAAATCAGTTTTTGCACAAAATCAACACTTATGTGTCGACTTGAAATTTCTATGTGTCGACACATAAATTTTGTATTTTTGCATTTTATTAAAAGCTTCAGTATAGGTCGACACATACAATTGTCAGGTCAGCACATGTACTGCATTATTAAAGCTTTCAGCATTTCTTCTTTAAAACACAGACCCATAGGTTGATACATACGATTTTCAGGTCAGCACATGTACTGCATTTCTAACGCAAAAAGCTATTATTTTATGTGTTGACACATAACATTTTTAGGTCAACACATATTGTTTTGTGGTTCATTTTTTCATTCGGAAACTATCCTCTTTTACCAAAAAGGAGTTCAACTATAAATATATCTATCACGCATCATTCTAACTTGATGATACCATTAGCCTACATTTCCTCCTCTTCTTCAACTTTCCAATCTATGCATACACACCAACATTGTATTGTGATGATGTTCTGTAGGGGTGCCATCTAGATGAAGAATTATGGATTTCCAATTGGTTTGGGTTGAGTTCTTGTAGGGGTCTTCATCCGGAAAAACTATCGGGTTTGTCCTCCAAAATCGTTTGTTGAATTGGGGGTTTTCGTGCAATATCGTGTGAAGGATCGTCGATGTGAAAAATCCCTTAGAGTGTTTGAAATATTTTCAAGGAACCTTAGAGTGGTTGAAATATTTTTAAGGAAGTAGTAAGAATTGGATGATATAATCGGTGATCTTCTGTTGATAGTTTGCAATCGGATTTACTTAATTGAAAAATCCCTTGGAGTGTTTTAAATCTTTGCAAGGAACCTTGTGGTGTTTTAAATTCTTTTAAGGAAGTAGCTTAAGAGGCGAATAGGTTGCATCTATCGGTCTTGGTCTTGCTGAAGATCAAAAGAAGAGAAGGGGTTCAATCAACATCAAACTTTTATGGTTTGTAGTATTGCTCTTGAACACTTCTCTTGTAATCATACTTTTGCAAAATAAGAAATTATCCTAATTCCAAATTTGAAATTGGGGAAGATGTAGCCATAGCAAGGACGATTGGTGAACTTCCTAAAAAAAAATCCTTGTGTCCCTTTTCTTTTATTGCTTTACTTGCTTTAATCTTCATACATCAATTTGTCAAATAGCATTGAGTAATTTATCGACGCGTAGGAATTTTCTGAAACTGTTTTTATTTTGAATTGTGTGTTGAGTTGCTTATAATCACTTTTAATTATAAGTGATTTTTCATATCAATACAACACAAAGTAAAATTCTGAAACTTTGATTGCACTCCAAGTGTTTGACAAATTGTTTAGCTTGTTTAATTCAAATGAAAATTGCAATATTCTATCTCTTACTTTCATTTACTCTATATATACAATGTGTTGAATGTGTTGTTTGATTGATTGATTCATATATAATTTATCTTTGATTATTAAAGTTTAAATTTCTTTATTGATTAACTTATAATTACTTTGGTTGTAAGTGCTTGTGCATATCTACAAATCTCAAAGAAAATTCTGAAAAATTGATTGCGCGCAACATATTCAATAAATTGTCATGTTATGTTTTTAATATGATTTTATTAGAAATAGGAAACCTTTGTGTTGGATATTAAACGGTTAATTGAGATATTATTATGTTGATTAATTTTATCATTATGTTAATTGCATAGGGCTCGTGTATATCCGAGTTTCCAATAACTACATTCGTTTAGACTACTATGTTGATCTAGGCCAAAATCCTCCGGCTCAACATTGTTTTTCAAATAAGTTTTAAATAATCTTTTTGAAAGGTAATTTATTTGGGGGACTATTCACCCCACTCTAGAGCCGGTGTCGTAGTCTAACACTTTTTGTAGTAGTGTGTAATGGTAATATGGAAAGGTCATGAGTTAGATCCCAGGGAGATCCATTTTGGAATTCTGAAATGCCGAAAACACCTTTTCCCTTGGTTTTGACTTTCATCCTAAGGGTATAACACTTTTTCACCTCGGTTTTGACATTAAATTGACGGGTAAAACACGATTGAGTTTAATAAAACTATTGTGGATTGCTTATTTCACTAAACCCTAACTCAACCTATAACGTCTTAAAATTGGTTAGGAAAATAATTATAGGAACAATTATGTTATATTTGAAGAACAACTTACATTAATCAATAATTTTGAAGCATCATTTAACTCATCATTCATCTCATATTGTTTCATGGTTAACATCTCTTTGATGTTTCAAGTTCTTTATTCAACACTTCCTTTTCTACTAATTCATTCATTGAAAGCATAAAATTTAATGTTTTGAAAAATGAACCAATATGAAAGAAAGTTGAACAAGACTAGAAGTATTGGAGAAATTTTAACCATAAAAGAGCATGGGATAAATGATGAGTTTCATAATGCTAGAAAATAATTAGAGAGGGGGGTTGATTATCTTATTGTTGTTTATGATTAATTAATTTCTTGATAACAATTAAAGCCAAGACCATTCATCTAGAAACTTGAGAGAACCTTGTGTGTGTTCTTCATTCACCTTTAAAAAACTTGACTAACACCCTATGTTTGTAGAATATCTATGAGATATTATAGCATTGTTCATCATTTTCATCCATAGTCCTGTTCCATTGTTGAGGACCTTCATCTCTAAAGATTGAGTATTGAAGGATACTAGTGGTATATTTAAGGTATCTAATATTTTTGTGTGAAGTTCGTTATTTGTAACAGGTGCATATATCATTTCTTGAAAGTTGTTTGGTGTTTGTTGTTATTCATTAAGAATAGAGTTTCCATTATACTCCAAGGAAGACTTTGGCGAGATCTAGTATCACCTGTCAGTGGGGTGGGGATGAAAGATTCCATCTTTGGTTGCGTTAGAGAAAGTTGCTTAAAGACAAAGTTGAGAGTTGTTCAATCAACGCTTGGCTATGACAATGGCTCAGACAAGAGATCAGTGGAATTAGGTGGATTTCCACATACGAATACTTGGAGAAGAACTATTATGGATATCGAGGTTATTAGATCAAGATATTTTAGAGATCTTGTTTTTGTTAGTGGTTGAGTATCTGCATCAACAAAGGGATTATCGTCTGATATATTTTTTTTGTAACTAAAATGCTTGTAATCAAACTTATCAAAATAGTTGAAGATCGTGATTGTTTTTCAATGGTTTTTAACACCATTGAAGAGTAGAGTGGGCAGTGCAAAGACGACAATCTAACCATTATATATCTTTGTGTATCTTTTCTTCTTCCCTTACCTCTTTTAATTTTCTAGTATATTATTATACCATTGCATTATTGCATCTTTGCATTGATTGTATACCATATTAGTTAGACTTTTCTTATAAAAATTTAATGTATAAGATTAGGTATGTGTTGTATAAGTCTTATTGAAGTATCATGACTTCATTTATGTCTTGTTAGAATCTATGTGCCAAGTGTTTTGAAATATCTGTGTTTAAAACTACTTGAGTAGTCTTGTGATTGACTTGCATTTGAAGCAATCAAATACATAACGAAATTCATGTATCATTTCATATGGATTAATTCATTGAGATGCTTCCATGGTGGAGACCAATTGTACTGAATAAAAGTACAACGAGCATAACAACCTCAAATGAATTAGGGTTGTCAGAAGCTTTAAAGTTTGTTGAAGATTAGAGTTATCTCACACACAACAAAGTGATATGTTTTGTATGGGTAGTTTATGTGTGTGTTAGAGATTGTCTTCTAAGTATCAAGTGTTTGTGTCTTTGTAGCTTCCTAGGGACCTTGGATCAAGCGAAGCAAGTCTCCCCTCAACCTTTCTTGCAGGAGTGGGTGGTTGATACCCAGAAAATCAGGAGAGATAGTTAGACCCTACGACTTCCTAGATACTAACTATTGACTCACTACAAGCTCTATTCGCAAACACACGTTACAAAATGAAAAATAGAAAGTTGAGTGGCCGAACAGGTAATGGGCGATCGAACCAAATGAAAGGTGTTCGAACTTATATAGAGGCGATTCGGAAAAGATAAACTTGCGCTTCTCGCCCTCACCCCATAGTCTTCCTCAGTTATTTCACTATAAAATATTCTAATAATATAATATTTAAAATTGTATACATTATCATTCCTTCGTAGGCAAGCCGAAACAGCGTGTTGCATAACCAAAAAAATTGTGATTGTAAGACCACATAGTTCTAAGTAGTGAATCAATTTAGATTATTTAATTTTTTAATTTAGTAAGTTGCAATGCTTATAAAGTTTGATGTGTACTGTTTTTCTTTGTATGGATTCTCTCTTGTTTATCATGAGTTAAAACACTTTTGGTGGATCAAATGTAATTTGATATGAAATAGTTGTGTTTAAAATAATGTGTTGTGATGTTTAGCACCTCTAGCCCTTTTATATGAAAACAAAATTTTGTGATGTAATGGAAGAAAAACAAAATAAGAATGTAGCAAGTAACAGATGACAAGATTATTAACTCTAAACCTAAATTATTTATTCATAGACATATCAATATAAAGTTCATGTATATGTTAGTGTATTGCAGTCTTATAATGGAAATATAAACTGAGTTTATGTAAAATCATTTATGGCTAAACTAGTAACTCAAAATTTAATCTTCTGAGCCAAACAGAGTGAAGTATCATATGTATCAAATCAAATGGCTTTGCAGGTCTATTTATCTCAAAATGCTTTCTCACACGTCTCACATTTGAATACAAAACTCTATACTTATCTTCTGTAACATTCTGTAAAATACTCTTAATTTCTGGTATTCTACCAACTTCAATTTCCATAGAAAATTGACTCCAATTAAGCACATCACTAAAAGGCAAAGAGTAATTGTCAGAAATTATCACAGGCACACACCCTGCATAAATTGCTTCCACCACTCTTGGACTTGCAACTTCATGCCCACTAGGACACAAACAAAACTTGCTTAGGCCCATCAAATCTGTATAGTCTTTACCTTTTGGAAGATACTCATTCACTTGAACTTCTTGATCCTTTTCCTTCCATTGCTTCAACAGTTTTTTTCTAATCTTACCGTGTGCCCCGCCTGCGAAAAAAGCTAATATCGTTCGATGATCAGGATGTTTCCAAGTTTTAGGCGGGCCGAGTTTTCCAACCGGTAAATTCAATTGAGGGACGGATACATCTCTATTAGGCCAAAAACCTTCTGAAGTGTTGGCATTGCAGAGTGCTCTAATGAAGTACTTGAAGAGTTCAGGATTAGCATCAGAAACTCGTGGTCCCTATAAAATGATAACTAGTAACTCAACCGAACTTAAACCAGACTCTGATATCATATTTCTCAACTGAATCTTAAACCAGACTCTGCTACCATATTTGAAAGATGAAAGTGTGAACTTACCCAATCATGGCATGAAAGAAGGAAATGGTCAGCACCTTGGCTTCTATTCCAATAAGGATACTTATTTGCAACAATGTTGATATAATCTTCAACCAAAACCTGTAATCTTTGAGGATCATAATCGAATCTCGATCTTCTAGGTTTGTAAACATATCGAATGACCTTAGACACACTGAAGGGAAGGAAGAAAACATGGGCCTGATCAGGATGAGTAGCCTTGAATGGACTTTTGTTACTTGTGTCCATTTCATCAATGAATTGGCCTTCTATGGAATATTTGTTGTTTACCGGGCCATCATGCACCAATGGCTGTTCTCCTTCATTGTACACCCATACCTTGAATCTCTTCACCATTTCTATGTGGCTTCTGTTTTAGAAGAAACATTGTAAATAGTGACTACTAATCTATAAAACACGAAGACACTGACACAGACACTAACACATCTATATGACACGGATAACAATTTCAAAAAATGAAAATTTGTTATAGTTCTACTTACTGGTGAAAAGCATTTGGATTCAAGTAAATGGATCCTTTTGGGACAAAACTTTGTTTGATGGTGCTTGTGTATTTCTTGGATCGAATTGCTTGATGAATTGACGCTCGTGCTTGTGCTAAACCTTCTTCAATCTTGTCCAAACTAGTTTTGTTCTTTCTACCATGGTGAAACTGAAAACACAATAGTTCAAAAAACATGTTAGAATAATGACAAGTTGAGCTCAAAGATTGAATAGTTAGTTAACAATAAATACCTTAATCCATGGTTGAATTGTATTAGTGTAGCTTCTATTATTTGAAGAGATCAAGAGAAATTCATGAGGTGATTTCTCTTTTGGTAAGGAAGTTGAATGAATATGATGAATCTTATTATGATCTTCATTTGAAGGAGTGAAAAAAACAATGAAAAAATTGAGGAGGAATACTAGTAAGATCCAAGTGGATATTGAAGATTTGAAAACTTTCATTACTTCATTCAACACTCAAAAAATCGGTGCCAAGACAAGATGCCTCGGCATCATCAACCACCTAGTACTCTACTATAAAATAACTTGAGCTGTTATTTAATAATGATATCTTTTATTGTTGTTATTATTGAATAATGATAATTGAGGACTTGACTTAGTCCCAAATAATTATTGAATAAATGTTTTCTAGGTTAAATGATGCGTCAGCTAGGGCCCACCTATATAGATGATCACTAGGGTGGGACCTACCAAATGAAATTAAGCATCTATCGTATTAAACTTTGGAAAAAGAATTTTACTAGGTTAATAATATTGACAAACGTTGTTAATGAACATTACTTAATCATAGGATAGCTACGGGCCACTCACTAAACTAAACTCTGGGATTTAAAGAAAGTTAGACTCCATAATTATTGGCTTGATCATAATAACATGTCATATGTGGTTGAAAAGCCTTTGCTCTCAAAGCGAAGGTTAAATTTCTTAAATGTATTTTGAAAGACTGGAATGAACAAATATCTGATAATCTTGATTTAAAGAGAGAGGTGAATAGTATTGACTCTAAAGCAGAGTAGTGTTTTGTTTTTTAAATTGAGGATATTTCTGCTAGGACTAGGGCGATCACAAATCTATGGCCATTGCTGAGGATCATCTATTCTCAATTGTTTCAAACGTTCAAAGTCAAATGACTTAAGGAAGGAGATAATAATACTGTTTTTTTCACGTCTGTGTTATAAGCTTGTTGTTAAGGTTTCGGTGGCTAAATTAGCTAATGTTATGGATAAGTTGGTTTTCTCCAATCAATCGACGTTCCTTAAAGAAAGATTGTTGGTTGGTGAGGTGGTTACTGTGAACGAGTTAGTGGATATAGCCAAGAAATTTGAAGATGTTTTGTCTTATCTTGAAAGTGAATTTTGAGAAAGCGTGTGATTCAATTAGTTAAAATTTTCTAGATTATATTCTGATCAAGTTTGGGTTTAGTGAGAAGTGGTGACCCTAGAAGAGAATAGGTGTGTTTTCTAGGAATCTCATAGTGCGGGTGAGTGATTTTCCTACCAATAAAATCAGCATCTAAAAGCGGTTGAATTAAGATGACCTTTAGCTCCCATCATTTTTTGTTGGTTGTTAGGAAAGCGGTGGAGCCAAACTTTTTCATCGAGTTTATGTGGGTTCTTTTGATCTGGTTATTGCCCATCTTTAGTATGCAGATGAAACTCCTATCTTGATGGAAAATAGCAAACTAATTAAGGTCTTATATGCGGTTTTTAGCTTGCTTCGGGCTTACGAGTCAATTTTACTAAAACCAGTTTTATTGAGATTAATGTTGATCTTGGAATTTTGAAATTAATGATAATTTTCTTCATTGTAAGCAAGAGAATATTTCCTTTAAGTACTTTGGTTTACCGATGGGGGCTAACCATTGTCTTGAGGCTTCTTATGATATGCTAGTTAATCTTATCTTTATGCAACTTCATTCTTGGAGGCATAGGTTGAAGGTGTGGAAAACACAAAAAAGCGGGGGAGGAGGGGAGAGGGGGGGGGGGGGGGGGGGAGGGGGTGAATTGGGTATTAAATCAAAACTTTTCTTTTAAAAATATTCCTCTTTAATTAAAATACTTTTCTTTCACGCTTGATAATAACAATAATTAAGAACAGGAAGTAAAGAACAAGATATGTTTATACTAGTTTACTTGAAAACTATCAAGCTGGTCTAGTCCACCCACCAAGGTAATTTTTCCTCTCTCAATCGAGGACTTAATCCAATAATTCAACTGATTATTATAATGCACAAGCTACCCGCAAGTGACTAACAACCTCTAAGACACATAAGTCCTAGACTTCTTAAGGTTACAGACCTAACCGGTTCCTTAAAGAAAATCAAACTTCTAAGACACACTAGTCCTAGACTTCTTAAGGATACAAATCTAACTGGTCCCTTAAGGAAATCAAACAACTGTTTGAATACAAGTTTTGTTTACAACCATATTGCTTCTACACAAGCTGAATATGTAAACTATTTTAAGAATAATGACTTAAGAATATAAAAGCTATGAACATCGCTTATCAGTGGATATGTAGTAAAAATTCGCTTTCTTTCTCTTAGCCTTCAAGCCTTTATATAGCCAATAAAATAATATATTCGTTGAGGAATACTCTTGGGATTTCCAGAAACATTGGCAGCTTGAGCAATCATGTGGGGGACAAGATCATGCAACGCGTCTGTCCTTTCATGGTAGTGGAATGAAAGGTTAATTTCATCATGTGCTATTTGTGCCACGTTAACATTATCTTCTTTCTTTCTGCACTTCAGAGGCTTCTGCGAGCATGAGTTTAGAAGCGAGAACATAACATAAGATCATCAGAATTTCAAGTCTTCAGAGTCTTCAGCACTTGGTCATGAGAACCTTTCTTAGAACCTTGGGTCTTCAGAATTTCAAGTCTTTAGAGTCTTTAAAACTTATGTATTCAGAGTCTTTAACACTTGGTCTTTAGAACCCTTTTCTTAGAACCATAGGTCTTTAGAACTTCAAGTCTTCAGAGTTTTTAGAACTTCGTCTATCAGAATCTTTAGCACATGGTCTTGAGAACCCTTTGTCTTCAGAAACATTAATCTTTAGCATCTGAACTTAAGTAGAAACTTCCGTGTTCATATCTTCTGACTTGTTTCTTTATAACATGTTGTCTTCAGAAACATGAGTCTTTATCATTTGTACTTAAGTAGAAAATTTCTTCTTCAGATCTTCTGACTGGTTCCTTTAGACTTCATATCAGAGCCTACACTTCAGAGTCTTCTGCAGTGTCTTGCTACTGTTCATTAGAACTTGTGTAGCACAGAAGTGGAATTAATTCTCTTCTAATATCTTGGTCACGCCATCCATCAAAAGCAGAACCTGTTTGTTAAATACTCAAAAGTAACAAACATTAGAGTATCAAAATTGTTCATACAAACATACTCATTTCTTATCATCAAAACTCAGAGATAGTATTGCAGAACTAAATCTTGTTCTAACATAGGTATGCCAGTTTGGAAGTAGGGTTATCCTTCTCAATTCATTTCTTAGTAATATCCTAATTTTCTTCATATATTTCTTTAAAATGTATATTAAAGTTTAGAAGAAGTAATGTAGGATTCAAATGAGGTATCTCTGGGGTTGGGTAAAAGGAGCTCTTAAGATTATTTGGGTCAAGTGATTTGATGAGTGAAAACATAAAGAGATAACTTGTATAGGAGTTAAAAATTATCTTTTGGTTAACTTGGTTATGCTGGATAAATGGCAGTGGAGATTGATATCGGGTGACTCAAATATTTGGTGTGATCCCCTACCTACTAGATATGAGTCACGCTTCATCGCCTCCTTTTTAGGAGGTTGGTCATCCTCCCTTCGTTATACTTCCACCTAGTTAAAATGTGATCTTACCGGTTGATCAGAACTTGTAAGCTGGTCGGAGGATGATCTTTGACGGGCTAGAAAGTTGAAGAAAAAGGGGGATTGTACCTGCAAGGAACTCTGACGATCAAGTAAGTGTGTGTAGCGGTAGAAATGTTAAGAATAAGCCATTGGGTTGACTTAACTCGCATAGATAAAAATAAAATTTGTCACCGCACTTTATTGTTTCCAGAGGAATGGGAAAAGAGCGAATAACCCAAAAAGAGGGGGAGAGAATCTAAGTTCAGGGGTTGGTTATGCAAAGGGAATGTATTAGCACCTTAAACATCTACGGCACTCTGTAGAAACCTCTTTGAAAATTAGTGTATTTTTTGCTATAATTGTTGTATACAAAAATAGATTGTGGGGATGAGAAAAGAAGTATATTTTTACAATTTTTTCACCCGTCGCGGTTGTGAATCTTTAGTGCCTACCTACCACCTTTCGTGCAATAGGGGATCAGGGTACTCGTAGTTCACCTTTAAAATTTTTAAAACACAAGTGTGTTGGTTAATTTTAAGAGACGAGATATCATCGTCTTATCCGAGTGGAAGAACATACTTACTACCCATGATTATGAGAAAGGAGAATTTACGTTATCTCAAATTTGAGGATATAGTTTGGATTTTAAAATCAACAAAGACTCACTCAACACCCAAGTGGAAAATATCTCACTTCACTACATACCGTAGAAGTATAGTAGTTCGCATCACTACAAGGATTGACAAGATTCTAATCTTTTGAGAAATGTTTAAAGTAAAAATCCAAAATGGAAAAATGGTTTGAATGAGATTGATTGACTTTTAGTCTTATCACAAAAAATGTCAAAGAATTATTAAGTTGTTTAAAATTTGATTAAGAAAATATTTTGAAAATGCATGGACCTAAGTCCAAGTTTATTGTGAAAGCCATTTAAGTTTGGAAAACAAGAATAGTTTTGAAAAGGAGGGAGAATATTTTTGAAATTAAAGAAGATGGGAGGAGATGAAGGGACTATCCTAAAGCACAAGGTAAACTCTAGGGAAAAGAACCGCCTAACCAACAAGAAGACAACACTTGAAACAATGAGTCAATGTGGAATTCTCATCCTTTGGATTGAAACCAAACAAGCAAAGATATTAAACCTCTTAAGAATACCAAACTTCAAATGCATTATGTTTTCACAAAAATTGGACAAAGTAACGGTTGTATACATATGAATTCCCAATCACAAACAAAGTATATAATCGAAATAACCTGCACACAAAGAAAACAAACAACCCAATATCTCGGGGTAAACCCCAAGAACTCCAGACAAAATAACAATAGAAGTCACAAGGTCCCAAGGTAGTCAAGGTCTCTAATCCTAAGTCCAAGAAGTCCACAACTCCAAAATGCCAAGGATAGTAATCAAATAGTCCAAGAAGCCTTAAAGTTTTTTATTGTTCAAGTTGGTTATTAGGTATCTTCAAAAAGAAAATGAAAGCTCAAGTGAGAAAAATAAAAATGACATAAATATAAATGCTCAAGTGAGCAATGATGAAAATAGCATGAAATGTAAATGCTAAAATAAATGGTGCATGAAACTAAAGG